AAGTTGGAATTTTAATGATACAGTATACCGGTATATATATATACAGATATCACATTGGTGAAATCCAATGCATTCTTAAGAAAGCTTCAAAGAAGAAACAGTCTGAACCGTTTCACTAAACTGAGGCCTTAACACACTTCCTGGTTGCATCATGGTGTGATGGTGCTTTCTGTCAGGTGTTTCTACCTTAAAGAGCTTCTGTACAATTTCATGTAAAACTGAAACTTGGTCACAAACGGGCATAAAATACATAACAAAACAGGTTGAGGACGAGATAACCATTGCAAACATTTTCTCAATTTAATTAAACTAATATATACTGGATAAACCTTAATGTGAGTTCCTTCAAAGAAACCAACAGATTTGAAAAAACTCTACAAGGTCTGCAAATATGAGTGGGAAAATATACAACTATAATATCTCTAAAGCCTCCTTCCTCATGGACACACAAAGCATATATTCAGTGTATAGCTGGGTAAGGAACATTTAACGAAAGGAATATACCAGGGTCTTAGTCCTCAACTCGGCCGTTCTGGCCGCATCCATCGCCGCTTGTTTTCCATTTTTCGTCAAAATTTGAATTTCAAATAAATTCCAAACATACCCAAAAACAAAACAAAAATTCACAATAAATTGTGTTTCTAAATATCCATAGATGTAAGCAATATACCAACCTGAATAAACTATATCTTGTGTTGCTGAGAAACGACTATTCTTGCTGTGCATAAGCTTATGTAAACTTCTGTCCTGAACCGCACACAATCTGCTGCTTTGACACTTTTGTCATCGCCAATGATTTACGTCCCGTGTAGAAGCTTTATGAATTTTCTCATGACTTCATTACAGCAACCTGTTTTTCTGCTACTCAGGTTAGAGGGCAACAGTACAAATCTTGTTCTGTTATGTTCTACTGAAATGCTTCAATTTGCACCTCTCCTTAGATATATATAACAAATCAATCCCTTATCTAACTGGGAATAAAAATGCAAAGCAGTCACACTAAATATTCTACCTACACAAAAAGACATTTTTGTCAATACAGATCTCTCCCAAATATGTTCTGCTAGATGTACGGTGTCACCACAACAGATCAATGAGCCTCTTTGAAATGCAGGAGGGAGGTGTGATGAACCACTGGGCTCTGAGCACTTATCACGATGTGTAATCCCATTAAACAAGACCTTTTATCATCCTCCGCAGAGACTTCTTAGAGAACCTGCAAGGGCTGCTGAGGTCTGGCCAGCAATGTCATTCAGTGCAGAGAAAACAAACTGAAAACACAAGCATCAACGAGTAGTTATCTTTAGTAAATGACTGACGATCGGCCCATAAAGTAGATTTAAGAAAGAGAATCACCTTAAAGAGGAAACTTACTTGTCTTTTCAGATATGTAATTATTGCATCGTCCAAGAGGCATCATGAGAAACTTTATTTATAGGTCTCATTTGTAAAACCATAATATTATATTAAATCGTGTGTAGGAATTATAAAAGATATAATGTTGATAATTAGGAGAGCAGAATGTGAAAACCTGGATTAAATAAACCAAGTGAGATTCATATTTCCTCCAAACACTGAAAAACCTAAACATGACAAAATATGTCTCTCCAAAGAGACGTCCTGTCTGTCTGTGTCAGGGGACAGTGATTTATCCTTAAACACCATTCAGAATTACCCATGTCAACACTTCATCACAATATATGTACATATGTCAGAGTCTGCAGTTTGTGTTGCAGGATTGGCAGAGAGCTCTGCAGCAGCAGCAGCAGCAGCAACTGCTGATTCCTGCATTTTCACGCAGGAAGGCTCGGGGTGACCTCCCCTGTTCATAGTCCCACAGGGGCAAACATTCAGCACAAGAGTGAGCAGAGAATGCAGCAGAAGAGAGGAGAGACAACGCTCATGGGTCAATGCAAAATCCTCCAGCAGTTGCAAAAAAAACATTATAAAAACCCAACCCTTTCAGATCCGCTTTCTTATCTAATCACTGCACAAGCAGAGAGCTGGGACCAAGACGGCCAGAGTGGTAATCTCTTTCATTCTCACTCAGCACTTTTCTAAAACCTCATTAGAAAGTTTGCTGCTAACCTGCATGTCGAAATCAACACAGCGGCATTAAAGACATGCTGCTCAGCAGAAAACAGTTCATCCTCACTTCCTGCTGAAAAGAAACAACTATAAAATTAACATATGACCTTTAACACGGTTTTGATTAAAGAAAAATAAACATTTTTAATCACTTAAGCCTTTCTAAACTATTCAGGGATATTTTCTTCATGCTTTAATTGTTTTTAAAGCTTTTATATGAAGAAACTAAGCATTTTACAATTAACCTGTTAACATTCTCTACTACATCCTCTTTAAAATTCTGGGAAAGTATTACAGAAAACCACAACAATGCAAAGATTAGAAAGGCAGCGATTATTTTTACTGAGCCTAATTTCCCTTTTTTTCTTTGAATTATGAGCTGCAAACAAATGCTGATCGTAGCATTTGTTTAAATAGCATAGCTCTTGTTTAAAATCAGCTTTATTTATTACTGTCTGTTTAAGGTCATGATCTTAGGCCCAGATTTTCACGTGATTTAATAAAAAATAGATAAATAAAACATTAATAATAAATAATAAAAATAATATTTTTATAACATCACACTACCAACACCATGTTTGAGTGTTGGTAGATTTTTCTGAAATGCTGTTAGTTTACCTTCGTTAACTGTCCATTAATGAGTTAACTAACACTGTAGGCTCTAGAGGCTTAAGAAGCTAATAGATTTTAGCTGAAGCTGTCCGAAAAACATCTGTTTATCTCACTAATCCACAGATTATTTTCCTCAACGTCTTGGGGATAAATACTATTTTATAAATGAGATAAGTTTCTTTGTGTTCTTTTTGGTCATTATTGGTTTTGACCTTATACCCTTATGCCCTTCATTTAAAGTTATTTATACCCTACTCAAAATTAGGTGCATGAGTAAATTAGTTTTTACTTGCTTAAAATTCAAGTTTATGCTAAGATAACTGCATATTTAAAAAATATTTTAAAATATATTTTAATATCTCAGGATTTCAAGTTTTTCATTTTTAGTTCATCACAATTAAATAAAAAAATAAATAACTCATTGCTTCCTTAGGTGACATCATCACCAAAAATAAATAAATAAATAATTTTTTTGTTAATCAGTCAATATATTTGTTGAGCTCTACAAGTTTTGCTTTTCCTGGAGGCCGGAAGATGCCACATTAATCTTCTTAATTTATTAATCTTACATTTGGATAAATATTGGAGGCTTAAAATGCCAGTTGAGAAGCACAGTGGTGGCAGCATCATGTGGTGGGGGTTATGCTGTGGAGGAGGGAAGGTAAGAAAAACACTATGTCAGGTTATTGTACCAACAGCTCAAGACATCAATCAGGATGCCAAAGCTTTTTAAGAAAAATGGATCTTCCAATTGAACAATGACCCTAAGTGCACCAACAAATTAGTAACACATTGATCTAAGAACAAGTCAATATTTTGGACTTTGCTATTAAAAAATGTTACCTGGATTATAACAGAACAGTTAAGCCTGATAAATATCGAAAAAAAATATATATTTAAGAGAAGATTGTAAACATTTTTAAAGTTGATGAATGTAAATATTTATAATCCAGGATTACAGCTCCCCCTACTGGACAGAGTAAGAATAAAAGAAACGTTGACTATTCAGGAAAACAAATTTTTTTCTAATTAGTGAGCTTTTCACATTAAATATAATTCTGACTAAATGTTCAATTTACACAAAAAATATAACAAAGTTCTTCTTCAGCAAAATATTCTAGTTTATACATTTTTTATACAAGAGTTGCTCCCATGCAAGCCATCACTCACATTAATAAAATCCTAATAAATAAAACCAAGTAATGATTTAGGATCCTTGATTCTTGTGTATTTTATGTACACAAAAATACAATGCATCCTAAACAACAAGGACTGAAAACGGCTTTTTTTTCTTTTACAAGAAACCAGTTTGCAATAAAGTCCCAACAATCTCCTCTATGTTTGTCTAACAAACGGAAAACCATAAAGCTCAAAGAATGTCTCCTCAGATTATTTACAGAAAAGATGCCTTCACTTTCTCAATCAAAGAAAACAATAACCACGCATACCGATTCTCACAGTGTTATGGGTGGTAGCTGGTTATTTCAGACAGGTCTCACATGTACGCCAACAATTAAAGGAAGTTCAAGCGATGGCCTTTAGTTCTCCCAGAGGCAGCAAAGTAGAATTTGGTCTTTTAGCTTCTTTAAGAAGTTCAAACTTTAAATGCCCATAAAACTTGAATTAAAATGATTAAAACTGAAACTAAAGTTAGAAGAATAACTGGTCGACTGGTATCAGGACATTTATCCTAATTTTGCACCTATTTGTCTATAAAGGAGAAACAAAGCCAGTATAAGGAAAGATCTGGCATTTAATTAATAGATAAAGAGAATATTCTGGTAAAAAGAAAACAAATAGTTGCAGTGCTTTTGCTGCTTTTTTAATAGCTGATGTTTTTAGTGGATGTCCTGACCATTCAAACCAGACACCGCTGCCCTGGCAGACTCTGCGGAAACACAAATGCTGGAATTTCTGCAGATATCCACACGCCAACAGGCTGTTAGGAATGCACCACAGTAGTTTCAAAGTTAAACTACTAGAACTCACAAGTCAATTTAAGAAACAGAAAAATATTTAATAAAAAAAAGGGGAAGCTAAGAATCTAGAAAGTTATTAAAGTCTCTTTATTAGGAGGTAGAAAGTTTGGCTTCAATTATTTATAAATCTTCTTTGGTGAAAGCAGAAGGACTGACTCCTTCCATGAACTTTTTGTCTTCTCCCATTAATCAACCTTGAGGAAGTGATGGGAAAGGAAGTGATTACAGAAACACCCTGCCTGCCCACCTCCAGGATCTCTGTCCTGCTAAGATAAGCCACTCCTGTTGCTAATTTCAAGCAGAAAAGCAGGAAATGTGACATCGTAGTTTTCCACTTCCATAAACAAGATGACTGCCAGGGTTTGCCGTTGGTCCTGCGTGCCTCGGAGTGCAGCCTCTCTCGGAAAGAGTCTCAGAGAAAGTGAGTGAAGCAGCAGGGGGAGAGAAAGTAGGAAAACAGGAAAAGGGACAAGGCTGAAAAAGACAGGAAAATCCATTAGAAGAGAGGAAACACACAGACAAAGAGATTGTAGAGAAGAGGGGGAACAGGAGTTTATAAGAACGACTGTACGAGGGATCAGTCTCTTTTCTTGTCATGGATGGAAACAGCACAAATGTCATTCTGGACATACTGAAGTCCTTTGATAGCGGTGAGTTTTCAAACTTTTCTACTTCCTCTCTGTCTGATGTGGTGTCTTTAATTGGCGCCTTTGGCTTTACTCAAGAATCTCAGCTTTAATTACAGCTTAAATGGTTACAACATGTTTGTCTGGGTTAGTCTACCAAAATAAATCCAAACAAACCTTTGTTTTAAAGACTGCTAACTCCAGTCTTATCACACTTCTCAAATGGATCATTGTGGTAAAAATTCTTTTTTTCCCCCCAAACCTCATTTTCAGCTGTTATTTAACTTCTGCACTTTTTATGTGTGCAAAATTCTGCGTAATAATATGACAGAAAATGTCACAGTTCTAATATTGCAGATTTTTCTCTTTAGTTCTGCAGAGTCAGTGTATTTTAGAGGTATTTGAATGGATTAGATCAACACAAAATAGTTTAGAATTGTAAAATAACAAATGGCCTGTACTTAGCGCTTTTCCAAGTCGGGAGGCTTGACCAAAGCGCTTTACATTTCATTCAGTCATTCACCCATTCACTACCACACTGATGGTGGCAAACTACATTGTAGCCACAGCTGCCTTGGGGCGCACTGACAATAGTGAGGCTGCTGTACTCTGGCACGACTGGGCCATCTGACCACCATCAGCAAAGAAATGCAATATAAGACAAGAATTATGTTTGAATTCCCTTAATCCTCTATAAAGCCACTTTTTGCTTCATTTATAGCTAAAGGTTTTATGTCTTTACAAGATTTGCACATTAATGAACCAAAGACTTCTTACTGTGTTCTTTGGAAATGCCTCAAGTTCAATCAGGTTAGAAGGAGAATGTTGCAAATATCAATTTTCAAGTCTAGCCTTAAAGGTCAACCGTTGTATTTTAAAGTTGGGGTACACTGATTTGGTTAACATGCTGAAGGTTAAACCTTAACTTCAGTTACAAGTTGTTTTTTTTAGCAGTTTTTCTGTATTTCAATCCATCATCTTAAAAACTGGAGTCAGCCTTCCTTTCTCTTCCGAAGAAAAGGATCCTAGCAGCATGATGGAGCCATTACCATGTTTCTCCATTAAGACTGTGTGATTTCAACCATATCCAACTGTCAGCATGTGGGCCAGAAAGTTTAACTTTGACCTTATCTGATCAAATCCCCTCAGCTTTGGATCTATACCAGCTCCTCTACTTTTTTGACTTTCTATCTGATTAATGCTCCTAATTGAGGCTGCAACTAGCAATTATTTTGCAAATTGATTCATCTGTTGATTATTTTTTCGTTTCATATTTTGATAGCAAAAGGCCCATTAAAAGACTTTTTACTTTTTTTTCACAATTTTGATAGAATTGCTGCTCAATGTGAGTCGCTCTGTCAGCTAAAGGTGTGTTTTACAGTCTATGTAATCCAGTTAACAATTAATCAATTTCTAAATTAGTTGAGGATTATTTAAATATTCGATTAATTACGATTCATTTGATTAATTGTTTCAGCCCTACTCCTAATTAAACAATTGTTGTTCAAAACTTCCTCCCTAACCTATGGGCTTATTTGTTTTGTCTTTGTGATGCTGTTTGTTCTCAGAAATCTGGAAACCCTCAACAGAAAAGTCAGCATTAAAACTGAGATGATATTTCTCAAAAGCAGACTCCTTTTACTATTAAATGACTTCTGAAGGCAAAATATTGCTCGTTTTTGCAGAGGTATAACAGAGTAAATGGAAGCAGATTCAAAAACACATTTCATGTTATGAAAACTATAAGTCCTGATCTAAAAAAGTGATCATATGTCTTTTATGGAGATAAAAAAATGACTCTACAGAATACTAAGAGTGTTTTTAATGTTTCTTTTCACAGCTCCTTTAATCATAGCTTTCTGTGTATCCGTCGCTGTGGGGTTACTGCTGGGTGCCACAGTTTATGTGATCCTAACCTGGATGTCCCGACGCAAAGCAGGCTCTGCCAAAATCACCCGTCGCCCACCCCGCCGCTCCAAAAACTCCCCCCAAGGTCGCCAGGGCTTCAACCGCAGCAGCAGCAGCTACGAACGTCGCAGCAACAACAGCTTATTAAGCGCAGCGTTCAGCTTCCACCGTCCGACATCTTCCCCAGATCACCTGGACGCAGTGGGGCACAAATCCAGCTTCAGGGCCTCTACCTTCCACCCCCTTATCCAGTGCAGCCAGATTGCGAGAGAGGCTGAGGAGGGGAGTCAGACCACGCTGCCTCGTACTCCACCTCTGACCACGTCAGCCGGGTCGGCTTCAGCCGCAGCAGGACCAGCTGCCAACCGTTCTAGACCAGAGTCATTCTGGGGGAACAATGGACTGAGGGGTTTGGGTGTGACGCAGACCCCACCTCCGGCTTATGAGAGCATCATCAGGGCTTATCAGGAGACATGTACCTGAGAGGAATGATAACACTTAAAAAAAATTATAAACCCTGATGGATTCTTTGAGTTTTTACTGACTTGGATGATGAGATAAACAGTGAGGATCTAAAACCTGATCAACCCAACACCCTTTTAGAAAAAATTTAATTCTTATTTACGCTCCATTAGCTACAAAATACATAACACATATGAAACAGGCAAATTCCTGGATAAATAAATAAACCCTACTATGGATTCTTAGTTAGTATTTAGATTTGTCTCAGACTTAGATGATCATGTTTGCATGGGAGGCTGTTACTTCACTGTATACCCAAAATTCCAAATCTTGCAACAAGAAACAATATTATTACAAGATGCACACAGGGCTAAAATAAGAAGGAAGAAAATATGTGAAACTAAACTTAAGGCAGGGTTAAATAGACCCAATGGTTATTTTAATGCACATTTCTGTTCTTTAAGAGTCAGCCTTTGTGGATGGATTCAAAACTGTGTGTTTCGAATTTCCCTCATCATTTAATGGATATCTAGTGATTGAAGTACAAAGTGTGTGAGAGCACAAGATGTAAAAAATCATTGTACTATTGCTAGAAATGCTAAACTCTTTTCTTCGTTTTTTTCTTTAGATCTTTAATTTTAAAGCTGTTAAAATATAGATATTTTAAGTATTGTAAGAATTTTACATTGACTAGAAAAAAACTAAACATTATTACGAGATACTTATAACCATAGAAGTAAGAAATTGGGAATAATTGAGCATATCAGGTACATTATGTATTATAAATAGAAAAACGGGAATTCCCATGTACAAAAATACTTCATTATTGAGGTATGTGAGCTATCCAAGGTTTAACAAAGGATTAAAATTTTTTATTTTAATTTTTTATAAATTGATATGTCAAAAAAACAGTATTTTATAGTATTAAAAGGACATTTTTAAGCACCTGCATGAGTTGGCATTTGTTGGATTCCTTGTGGTTAACAAATACGTCATCTTTTGGGAACAATAATGTCATAGTCCTACCTCTGACCAAAGCCTGGACCCTGAACACATCACATAACAGCAGAATAAAGGCGCACAATTGATGCCTCCTTCTTTATTTCTAGTGTGTTTCAGTTACTGCATTACATCACCATAGGCTGGCCTGTTGTGGTTTCTTGATCCTTTGTGGTTTCATGTTTTTGCAGGTATAAAGAAATGTATGCTAAATTTATAATTGTTTTCACACACTTTGTACATTTTAATAGATCCTATAGTCTTCTACTGAAACAAACTGCAGCTGTCTGCCACAGTAGTTTTTATACCAACCATGCATCACTTCATACTCACCTGGGTGCTATTTAATACCTTATTTGACAATCAGAACACTAAAATCATTTTCAGTAATACACTCTTATTAAAACGGGTGGCAATGTAACTTAAATGAATAATATCTACAAAAATAAGATTGGATTTCTCATCTTACATAAACATCAATAGACATAATCAGAAATACAATTCAAATAAATCTTATTAGAGACACAAAGCTTTATGAAAATCCCATACTTTTAAATTTAACTGTACATAAGAGGAAATTTCTTTAAGATAACTTAAGCCTACACTTAATTTAATTATATAGGGACAAAGGACTCCAAAGAGGAACACAAACTAGCAAAGGGGTGAAATAATAAGATATTTTATAAATATGATGACATGATTTCACTACAAATACAAAACTTGTTTAAGGTGCAGTACAGATATTTCAGCACAACATAATAATTATATTGTAAAACTGTATAATATACAATAATTATATTATAATTTGCATGGCTGTAACCCAGGAAACACAAACGGGATAAAAAGCTGCAAAATTGGGGAATTGTTTTTGTTTATTTTTTCCAAGATCACAAAGTTATTTTGTACAACTTTCTGGTGGACATTTTTCAGTGACATTAATTGAAGCAGAGAGAGAAGAAGATACAGTACACGATGGTGTGTAACCATCCACACCATTACTGAGGACTAAAAGCCAACAATGACTGCCCTTCACACAATGCAGCAAGTTTTACAGATATGCAGCAATCTCTGCAGTGTAAGGGATTGCTGCAAAGTTAATGGCTGTGATGCAACTTTGCAATCTTCCTACCAAATGGTATAAACTGAACTCGACTGCACTGGATTAAGCAGGGATTAAACTGGTATCTCGTATAATTGTATTTTGTTGGTATCAAATATTAAATCTGTCAGTTTCTTTTGGGCATTTTAACATTAATTTTATATAAGAAAAACATCAATAAAAATATTTAACATGGTTGTAATGTCTTTTTTTGTCATGTCATCGTTTTACTAGGATTAGTACGTCAGAATATTCCATGTATGAAAGTAAAAAACTAAATGCTTTGAAGTTTAACAGATGTTGACTGTAAATACTATCAGAATGTTTGTTAAAACTATCACTTAAGGTCATTTTTTAAAGGTTTGGATGAAAATGTGGTTGCTTTTAAATAAAACATAAAAAGTTTAAATGGGATTATTTAGCATTAAAAAAAAGAAACAACATAAAGAATCGTTTAATAAAGAGACATGTGCTTACCCAAGTTTGCTCGGTGGTAATATTTTGGTCAAAGGTGTGACATCAGACAGGAATAGCTTTGCGGTTGATGACGTATTATTTGTGAGACGTTTTCCAGAGAAGATACTAGCCTCAGACGCAGAAGACATCTAAATTCTCGTAATAATCGCCCTTTATTACTTCAGGTAACTATAATCTTTAGGTATTGAAAGCAACCCAACAATTTTTCACAGGTTAGCTTTTAATGCCAGTTATATCTGACCGTTATTTCGAGCTGAAACAGTTAGCTAGCTAACCGGTTGTAGCTTCCTGTGGCTAAAGATTATAGGGGCGTTTATCTGTGTTAGCTTCCCTACAATTAGGTGTGTCGAATCGTGTGAAACGATGGGATTCATCTTTGTTAATACATTTGAGAGTCGATGTAAGATAATTTCAAATGAAGCTATGCTAAGTTAGCTATTGTTAGCCTGTTGAAACTTTGCTCTGTCGGCTGTCATGTGACACATTTATATCCTTGGTGTGAGAAATAATTTTTCTTTTCTTTGGTTTGATTGATGTACAGAGAGAGAAGTGGAGGATGTCTGTAGCAGCTCTCCGTTTGATCCACTGCAGAAGATTGAGCACAGCTGGGCCTCATGGTGTGAATAAAGTGCTTCAGTGGAATCATTTAAGTAAGACATCAGTCAGTAACAGTTTAGCCACAATGTTGATCATCCACAGCTAGTTAAAGGTGATAAAGATAGGCTCTGTGTATGCATCTCTCTGGTTCTTTTCCCTGGAAAGAGATCACTCGGGACAAACTCTTTAAATAACACTTCATAACTTATATGCATTAAATAACCCGGAGACGTGACAACTGATTCTGATAGAAATTGTGATCTTACTCAGATCAGATAAATTGCTTAGAATGTAAAGAAGGCAGCTGCTCACCTCTCAGGAAGTGGCCCTCATTAACAGTTAAAAAGACATTTTATACATCTTCAGTCTGCCACATCATCTTATTTTACATCACACACATGAGCAGATGATTAGACATCCATGGATCCAGCCTTATCAAAATATTACACTTTGCTCTTAGCTGAAGGACACTGCTCTCATTTCATTTCCAAATCTTTGCCAAGTACAGAATGAAGATTATAACTATGTCCACGGAGGAACTGTCTTAATTAGATTAATTATTCTGGAAAACATCAGTTCTGCCACTCTGTCCACATGTTGGACTTGGAGTTTTGTCACATTTTAGAACCGAGAAGATGAATAGATTTTGTAAACTGGATTTTGTGTGATTTTTTTTTTTATAGCTACTATCCAAAATTGTAAAGCGATTTTAAAAACTTTATTTCCTTTTGATTTTATTTTGTTGGGATTTAATTTGATATAACAAACATAAGAAGAATGGAGATGTAAATTACAGGAAAATGATAATGTTTTACAGATTTCTAAATAGGTTTATTATAACTTAGCATGTTAACCTGTTGTCTGATAATTTAGCTGTGTGAAACTCTAAGATCTTTCTTTTTTATAATGAAGAAAAAGTCACTATGTAAAAAAAACATTTATATTTCTCATGTTCAGTTATTTTCAAATCCCTGTATTCTATTTCCCAGTTTAGACATTGTTCCATATTCTCTGAAAACAATTTTTTTCTTTGAGGTAGGGGTGTCCTCGGCTCTACCTGTTTGCTAATACTGATTTCCTTTCACACAAAATTTAGGAAAAATAGCTAAAGTTACTGGCGCAGTTGTGTTTGGGTGAGTTGCTGTATTATCCTGAAGTTTTCAACTTAATTTGTGTTTTTTGTTCTATAGTGTCTGAAATATTGTTTTCCCTCTTTTTAGGGGTTGTTTATTTATTACTTATGAAGTAGTCGCCTTAGATAAGGCTGTGACCATCGACACCAGTGCAATTCTTCAAGAAAAATACAAATCCTACGTTTATCTCAGAGCCACTCCCTCTGCTGAACAGGATCATCTATCTGCAGGTGATGATTTTGTTTAAATAAGTGAATAAAGCCTTTTTGTGCTAAAAATGTAGTCGCTAAGGTGTGTTAGCCATCTGTCATATTAGGTCTGTCTGTGTGTCCTCATGTATTTTGGACATGAGTTCTTGCATACCTGGTAGACCAAAACATCTGGTATCATTTCCCTCTGTCTTTCCTTCCTCTTTCTATTTCCTGTCTGGTTTTTTCTGTCTGTTCTCACTTTTTAACCCAAGGTCAATGTTTTAAAGCAAAATACCAACTGGAGTCATTTAATGGAAATGCACACTGACACTAAATGTTCTGCTCAACTTTAGAAAATTCTCATTGTTTAAATTAATTTACTCTTTATGCACGTATTTCACAGAGTTCACACAAAAAACAAGAAAAGAACTTCACAGAGCAGCCAGAAGGTTTCTGGAGTTATCCTCTAAGCTTCTTCTAAAGTCATTAGATGGTAAGAAATGTAAAGCTTCTACAAGGTATGCACAAAAGAAAATCTTTTATTTAAAGGAAGGTATGTGATTTTACTGTATATAGAAGCAGAAAAGTTATTTTACTTGACACTACAGCTGACTGTTTTTATGAGGGCAGAGAGCCAAGGAAACACCTGCCTTAGACATGAACATCCTGTTTTTGAGTATTCCATACTTTCTGCAATAATGCGTTAAGTCTACAGTCGACACAATACTTTTTTTTTGTAGTTTTCATAAACTTGTATTCAAGATAAAAGTAAATAACATTTGAACTTTTCCAAATTATAAGCTGCCAAGGTAACAGGGCAAAGCTTTCTGCTCCAAGGTTAGTAATGTATCTCCTGGCTTTTTTTTTTATCTAAAAGCAGTTGCATAGATTTAGATGTTAAGGTAGTTAGATGTAGACTATCTGTTGCACCGTTGTTTACTTAGCACTGTTAGTGGTACATGTTCTGTTATTGTGTAGATAAACTTGGTAAGTTTATTAATTGTGTTTGTGTTTCTAAGAGCACTTTAGTCACGTTGATGCAGACCCACATGAAGTTGGGTTATGGGTTCTGCTTAAGAAGGCCCAATCTCCTAACAAAGCCATCAGACTTCAGGCTGTCCAGGAGCTTGCAGAAAATCCCCACTGGCAAGGTAAAGCACACTCATTGGCCTCCGATTACCTCAAGTCATTTGGTACTGGATTACTAATCTGTTGTCTGTTACAGATTACCAGTATCAGACAGCAGCTCAGGTCATCGATCAGCGGACAGTAGTTGGTCTGGCTCGAACTCCTCAAGTGGACCTGCGATTCTTCCGACAGCCGCCTGCACTGCCTAATTTAGAGGATGTATGTATTTTAGTTTAGGAGTTACTTATTAACATCATCCAGCAACCTCATATACAGTCATGGAGGAATCTATTGGCATTCCTTTGCACAGCGTGTTAAAAGCTTTTGTGCCGCAGTAGGTCAATTTCACACTGAAGATGGAGGAAAAATCTAATTTTTAGTGCAATTAAATTTATTCTGTGGGGAATATTACATTTCATTTAAATTCAAATTTATCAATTAGATAAAAACATTTGAAAAAATGTTATTTAGCAATTAAGTTTTTCAGTTACCCTTGAGTATAAATAACAAAGGGTTAATTTTAGATGCTTCCTGTAGGGCCCTATAATTTCTGCGATCACGGAATCGCGGACGGAATCGCAGGGGGATGCAAATCTGGGCGACACAACCCCTCCCGCTCTGTCATTTCCGCTCACCCTCCCCCATCAAAACATTGAAAAGTCGCAAAGTGGCTCTCCATAGTTTGCGCTTTCGGCGAAAAAGTTGAGAAACACGATGCTTACATACTTGCTGTATTTTGCCTTGTTTCTTATGCACTTTAATGTACTGTATGGAAAATATGATTCTTTATGAAATACTTTATAATTCTGAAATTGAGAGGTCCTATTTTAGCACTTTTATTTATAACCATTGGTTCTTAACCATTAATATTTTGTTATTACTTAGAGTGCAGTGTTATGTTGCATCATGCAGTAAAAGTACTGAGTAAATGTGTTTTTTTAGCTCAATAAATTTAAGGTCATTCCTATTTTAATAGTGTACATTTTAACCATTAACATTAAAAGCACATTCTTTTTACGACTGAAATAACAGTAAAGGGTAAAAAAATGAATTCGCAAAAATTAAAATGGAAAAAACGGAATTTTCAAAAATTAAAACAGATTTTATAGGGCCCTATTCCTGCCAGGTTGAACCATTTATCACATGTATGTTCAGACCATATACTGTAAGCAGGCTGGTAAGGTAAATAAAACTTGGGTCTGAAATTTGTTGATAGATTTCTGTTGGAAAATGATGCATCGTGAAGTCTCAACGTTTGGAGGTGTTGATAGATGTGGAGCAGGATCCATGATGCTGCGGGCCTTCTTCTCTATTAAAGGCCTTGGGATCCTTGTTAGAGTACATGGCATCAAAAAATATTTGAATGAAAAACTCTAACAAAAGAACTGAAAATTGATAATCACTGAGTTTTCAGGCAGAATGATGATCAATACAAAATGGCTTCACCAGAAATAAATCAACCTTCCTCTCTAAACTCCTGTAGAAAACCAGCAGAGGTAGTTGAAGAAGAGATATAATGCATTTTTAAAGCTTTCCCTTAGGTTGCTGTAATAGAATAATTATTTAAATGTTTTTTTGCACAGGGGGTGTGGATACTTTTAATTTCCATATCTGCATGATTTTAACTTTATTGTGTTTTCTTCTTAGGGTATGTCAGCAGAGGATGCTCTACGGCAGCTCTTAGCGTCTCTTCCTCTGTCTGAAGTCGACAGATGTGTGCAGTACTTCACCTCTCTGGCGCTTAGGGAGAGCAGTCAGTCTATGGCAGCACAAAGGGTGACATAAACACATGCATGCACATGTTCATAAAAGGATTTATTAGGAGAATATTTGGAAAAGTAAAAAAATAATACTTTGATTTGCTGTGGCTATTGATGTTGCAGGGTGGACTGTGGTGTTTTGGGGGTAATGGGCTTCCTTATGCCCAGAGCCTCACTTCTGTTCCCTCAGAAAAAGTGGAGTCCTTCTGCCTGCAAGCACTTGTGCAGCACTCAAAGGTTATTGCATATCAAAACAGGTTAATCTTTTTTTAACTAGGGTGAGTTGAATCTTTTAGAACGTGATGGATTTATTGTCTGCAGGTACAGAGTCACTGTGACCACATAGTTGCAAATGGAGGTCTGCAGATTCTTCAGAGACTTTATCAGCTCAGAAAGGAATCCCAAAAGATTCAGAGGAACATTGTTCGTATCATAGGAAACCTGGCACTAAACGAAGGGATTCACCAGGCCATAGTCCAGTCCGGTAAGTTCATAATAATTCTGCGTGAGCGGTTTATGATGTCACCATAAAAAGAGGCGGTTTCCTACCCGGACATAGATTACAGGCTTTCTGCTTGATGATGTTTTACCTACGTTTAGGTTGGGTTTCCGTCCTGGCCGAGATGTTGCAGTCTCCTCATGCAATTCAGGCGTCTCATGCGGCTCGAGCTTTGGCCAACCTGGACAGGGAGACATTGAGGGAGAAATACCAAGATGGCATCTACATCCTCCACCCACAAACGCGTGGCAAGTAGGAGAATGGTTAAAGTTTATGCTTCAAAAAAAAAATTTGGTTAGTTTTTATTGATTTTACATAAAATCCAACCGTCATCTTTGACTTGGTCCATTTGCAGCCAACCTATCAAAGCAGATGTGCTGTTCATCCATGGGATTCTAGGAGCAGCTTTTAAAACATGGAGGCAGAGGGACCGCAACACACTGGGAGAAGAAAATGAAGCTGAAGATCTAGATGATTACACAGAGTGCTGGCCAAAGGTAATGCATGCTCCTCTTGATGGGTGTTCAGCAAGTTTAAAGGGAAACAGGGAAATGAAACCTCTGCCTCTAGAAGATACTCGGATAATTCAGGAGCTGTTTTGTTGATGTTTGGATAAATAAATCTTTGCACTCGTTACTCTGTTTCTATGTAGTCTTGGCTGGCAGCTGACTGTCCAAACCTGAGAGTACTGTCTGTGGAGTATGACAGTCATCTTAGCGACTGGATGGCTAAGTGTCCTGCTGAGAATCAAAGGTGAGAACATGATGTCTTTAATCTCATATGGTAGCAGAACATAATTTTTATGTTGATGTATGTAAATAAAATTGAAATTCTAGGGAATAGGAGTCAGTCTGAATGCAAAGCATATTCAAAGATATCAATTTGGTTTTTGGCAAAGAGGAGAAAAGCCTTTAATTTATTTATTAATTTATTTTTTATCTCATCAGGAAGTCATTGGCATACAGAAGCCGGGAGCTGCTAAATAAATTAAAGCTTGCAGGAGTTGGAGAAAGACCTGTGGTCTGGGTGGCTCATAGTATGGGAGGTATTCTGCCACAAACATATCAGATATCCTCCATTTTTTCCCCTCCATTTGTTACATTTAACTGAACGTATTTGTTGCTTGTGCGCCCTCTTGTGCTTGATGTATCCGTTAGGCCTGCTTGTGAAGAAAATGCTGCTGGATGCAGCTGATGACCCAGATCTGCAGGGATTATTGAAGAACACTAAGGGAGTTTTGTTCTATAGTGTTCCTCACCGTGGCACCTTCATGGCAGAGTACTCTGTCAATGTCAGATACCTCCTTTTTCCCTCTATAGAAGTCAGGGAACTTTGTAGGGGTGAGTTTTAATTCTCAGCTGCAAAACTGGGTTTCTTTTAGTCTCTGAAAAAAAGTAAATATCTGTCTTTGTTCAGACTCACCAGCCCTCCACTGTCTGAATGAAGGCTTCCTTAATTTTGCCAAAGAAAATGAAATCAAGGTGCTGAGCTTTGCAGAGACCCGGCCCACCATCATCGGCCCCATGATCAAGATTCTGGTGGTACCAAAGCAGTCAGCAGGTATGTAGCACTTGTGAGTAGGCGACACGTTTCCTTTACTTCTCATCTTGAGTGTTTTTTATTTGTTATTTTTTTGTGTTTTGTTCAGACCTCGGCCTTGGGGAGCTTATTGAGGTGGATGTTGATCACCTCAACATTTGCAAGCCAGAGAAGAAGGACTCGTTTCTATACAGACGCAGTCTGCAGTTCATCCAAGAAGCACTGCAGCGTTTCATCAGCCAGTGACTCAAATACATAAGCACAAAAAAAATGCAGCCCAGTATGCACTTAAAACTGACCCTCCACCCTTAAACCTAAAACGCCTTTCCTTCTTATGGCACATTAACATAGGCATCTGCCAATCACTAATGTGAGAAGTGAAATGAAACCTTTTTTTACCCATTGATGTCTGAAAAAACCTGACCTGTGCTAAATAAGTTGGAATTATTTTATGTGTTTATTTCATGTAAATTGGACACATTCTGATGGGTTTAATTTTTACAAGACTCCATTACTTTGTTTACAACTAAGCTCATTCTTGCACATGCAGCAAATTATTCTAAGCTCTAATAATACATCTCAGTGATTGGGACCAGAATATTGATTTTAAATGTATTTTTATATTTATAAATTGTACAGATTTTGTGCCAAAATGCGCTCCCTTCTGAGCCCGACTCCAGTAGGCCCTGAGCTATCAGATCAGCTCTCCTGGTGTTTTTGAAGTCTATTCAAGTTGGATTTGTGGCACAAAAACTACTATAAAAAGCAGATTAATGACAATAAATGTTAGAAATGAGTGAAGCTGGAGAATTGTTTCCTTTTTTTTCTTGATGCACCACTTTGGACCTCTTGTACAATAGAACTGTCATAAGAAACCTGCAGTGTTGGTGATAACAGCAGGAAGTAAACACACCTTTGTCTATTAAAATATGTATGATGAAAAATCTAAACATCCTTAAGAATTACTCTCTTTTTTTTTTTAAACAAAGCTTAGAAATTGAACTTGAAAGATAGGTACAGGTTTACTGTTGTAAAATGCCAGTATTTAAATAGTTTAACATAACATCAACGCCCATTGTAGCACAAAGTTTAGAAAGGTTTAAAACAGATGGGCAAATACTACACACACATACACCATGAAAATGATTATATAAAGTAAACGGACCAAAAAACAAAACTAAAAGGTGGAAGATGAACAAGTAGGAGATAAACCAATCTGCTACAGATGATCAACTATTAAATGCAACCAGTGTAGAAGAAATGCTTGAAGTAACAAACATTGAATAATATGTACAAATAATCAAAACATTAAGTTATTTGTAAATGGCTATAAAATATTCTAATACATATGTTCTTGCCAAAACGCATAACTTTAAAAAACAAAAGAAGTACAGCATGAATAAATTGCCTGCTTGCTAAAACTGTTCAAGTAGCAAAGCATAAAATGGCCTTTTAATAATACCTAAAAGAATCAGATTTTAAATCTTATTTAGGAATAAATCTAATCATCATCCTAAATGTTTGTTTTTCTTATTATGTTCTGTAGAGCGGAAGAACAATTTCCTCAGAGTATCGTCCATAGTTTGTTTTCAGTGTCTAGTTATTATTTATAAAGAAAAAAAATCCAACAATAATATTAAAATTTCGCCCAGTTACTATAAACAAATTAACATTCCTCAAATGGATAGAAAGGGTTAATGAAAACCCGTATGATGAGAAGTTTGTCCCTTGTCAGAGCCGTAGTTTGCTCAGATTCAAATTTATCATTAATCAGTCTACAACGAAAAATTCAGAAAGTCGTCTTGATTTATTTTAGATTTTATTCGTTTTTGTTTTACCAGTTTTTTTTTTTGTCGTTTTTTTTTTAGCTATCCACACCCCTTACTGGTTGGTGGCGGTAATGCGCCAAACGTTTGCGTTCCAACAGCGATTAAAAATCAAGAAGAAGAAGTTTGTCCCTTGTTGTGCGCCGTACATTTCTATAACTGGAAGCTTTTGCTAGCGTTGCCCTAAGACAAACCTTTGATCATATGTGTTCATTAATCTTCAATATATTGAGGTATGTGGATGGAAAACGGGGTGTTTGGCATTTGAAACCGTGTTATTGATTCGAGTACATTTAATGCGGAATTATTGCGTGTTAACATTAGCTAATTTCTAACAACATATAACTTCTGTTCTCTGCTCGTATTTTCTTTTAGCCTCTTAGTTGCAGCTGAGGAGCTACATTGTTGATCATCTTGTTGCCAAAATGGTTAATGTCCACAAAGGAGTTCTTGTTGAATGGTGAGTCTTCTATTTATTTATTATTATTTTTGTTTTGTTTTGGAAATGTCTAAATATAGGTTCATCTCTGATACGATTTGCCTTCTATGTACATTTGTTGTGTGTTTTTACACAATAAATGACCAGGTAAAATGAGTTTTACAATGAAGGCAATGGTTCACAGCTTATTTGAGTGTTTTCAGATTAATATCAAATTTGGGCATCTACTTAAATGAGAAAACAATTAAAACCTGATTTATTTCTACTGAGTTGAACTACATTTCACATTGATTATGGCTTAAAATTAATTACTGCTCAAAATTCCCTCCAGGATGAAAGATAAGGCCAACACTTCTATCAAGATGTTCACAAGATAAAATCAGCCAGATTTGGTAGAAGAAAAAAAAATTAGAGACTAGATTTTCAGCCATATCTTGCCGCCCTTGCTGTAATGTATGTTGGTGATTTTACTGTTATATCATTGATAACTATAGATATTGAACTATACCAGGCTAGTTGGCAGCCCAATAAAAAAGTGATTCAATGGTCCTTAAAACATGTTGCTTTTTGCTGCTTAGGAAGGTGCCAAGTCCTGCTTAGAAAGCTACAAACATATTAAAGATCGACAGCAGAGAGAATCTTCTATTTTTTGTTTAATTTTGTGTCTTTGGATGTAATTTTAATTTCTGCTGGATAACAAATTAAGGCTATTAATACATTGAATTAACTTTTTCCCAGAGTAGCCACTGTATTGAGAGTATTGCACTTTTCAGCTACAAGTAAATCTGTATGATCACTGCAGATCTGATAATTTTACTGTTATCTTTCTTTTATATAGTGGCTTTAAGTTTTTATGTATAATTTTTTTCCTTTCTCTTCCCCATTTCCTCTGTGGACCAGTGATCCCGCCATGAAACAGTTCCTCCTCTACCTCGACGAAACGATGGCTTTGGGAAAGAAGTTCATCCTAAAAGATCTGGATGACACGCATCTTTTTATCCTGGCAGAGGTGGTCCAAACCCTCCAGGAGAGAGTTGGAGAGTTAATGGACCAGAATTCATTTCCCATCACACAAAAATAACCCTTTTTGTTTTCTTTTCAAGAACTCCTGCTATTTTTTTCATTTAGATTGCAGATTCTTTCTTGGATTTTTTATAAATAAACTCATTTACGCTGTAGTTGCTTTGCAAGTTCTTTCTTTTCATGCTGTCTGATGAAGTGGCTTAATTATGCACGGTAATATCCCAAATTAAAAGCTTCATAATAGTGGTAGAAACAATATCTGGCTTGACAAAATATTTGGAGGAAGGTGTCGGTTTATTGATTATTAAGCCACAGTAAAAAAAAAAAATAATACCCCAAAATGGTATTTTTATTTCTTCAAGCAGAAAATATTAGGGAATTTGGTAAAGTCAAAAACTGATGGTGGAAATTATTATTTCAAACTATTGTTTTAGAGAGAACTATAATATACTACTATTTTTCCCCCAAAAATTGTTTCCTTTTTGGTTTTGAAGAGGTCACTGTTTTGTATTTCTCTTAAAATCCAGACAAATACTTTATTTAGAAAGAAAATAGGCATATAGTTAACGTTTTCTAGCAGTTGTATACTTATTGGTTTATTGTGTAAATGTCAGAATCTAGCGAAAAGATTTTTCTGTGTCCAATGACAAACCCAAAAAATATAATCTTGCTCAAACTGTAAGGTTTGTCTCCCTCTACTGATCAAGCTTGAAATTACAGATAACCCCTAAATTTGCGTTTTCAATATTGTTTGAACATGTATTTTATTCAGGTGTCTTCGAAAGTAACTATATCACATGATTAAAAAATTAAAAAAGTACAATTTAAAAACTTAGCAGAACATGGTAGAATTCAACTGTTTCTTTAATCGATTCATAGTAGGCAAAAAAAACCCCGTTAACCTCTCAAAGCTAGCAGTAATAACTACTGTGCTCGACTTCCGGTCATTTTAATTTCAAAATAAGTCTCTGCTATTTTGTAAATATTTTTTTTTTTTTTTTTTTACTTATAACCTAAATATACATATAAACTTAATTTCAACTGTATGGTAATAAAACTAAATGATAATGTGTTTACTGAGTGAACTTGTTGCATTCTTTTTTTTTTTTTGCTTTTCTGATCAGGTTTCTGACTCCTTTGACTAAGCTTATACGAGAGGGAGAAAAATAAACAACGAGAACAAATAAAATTAATTTCCTTAACTATTTTGAGTAAAAAAAAAAAGAGTATATCAAAAAATATATATTTGTTAATGTTTTTTTCCCCATGAGACCATTTTATTTTATTTTGAAGAGAATAAATTTACTGTGATCTTGTTTCCGGTTTGAGGATCGTAACAACCATGGATGATTACCTTACGGATGAGCAGGTAGGATGTTTCTTAGAAATATTTCTCTAACTAAAGGGAATCAGTTAGGTTTACGAAATCCTGTATTTATATGGTTTAAAGGTTTAAATGTGTGTTAAGGATGTTAAAAGGGACATTTCTTCACCCGTGTAGCTGCTTGGCTTTGCTAGCTTGTTAAGCTATTTTTCCCCCCTCAACAGACGGTGTTCGACGTTGAAGATGTGAACAAAATCATAAAAGATGTAAGCAAAATATCGGCAGTTCTAGTTTTGTTGTTGTTTAATCCTCGCAATGTTTTTCGGAGGTGAATAGAATCCTTAACTTACAAATTTGTGATTACTGTAAGAATGACTGGTTGCTAAGGACTCTTAACGGTTGCTATGCACATTTCTTTTCGAAGTTTAATATTTGGGGACGTCCAAAATTAGGGAAAAAACACACACTCCAGCTATTTAAATCTTTCTAAGAATTTACTCTATCTCGTTAACGTTGTTGGGTTCTGTAAAGACTTTAGAGACGGTGATTGGAGAAAACTCCTACAAGCACAGCAGGGTGAACCAGTGGAGCACCAATGTGGTGGAGCAGTGCCTCCTTCGTCTCAGCAAGCTCGGAAAGCCTTACAAGTACATCGGTATGTAGATTCCCTATAATTGAATAACGTTGCTTCTTTTCTGTGTGTGACATTTTTTTTTTTTTTTTTCTTTCTTTAGTAAACTGCTTCATCATGCAGAAGAATGGAGCAGGGCAGCAAACAGCCACCAGCTGCTTCTGGGACAACAGTTCTGATGGTAAAAACACTTCTTTTTTTAAAATTATCATACAGTTTACAAGCGTTGTTTTTAATAGTTTTAGATTAATATTGTACTAATGGTTTTAAAATGTTCATTTTTATACAAGGTTTCCTATTTTTTTTTTTTTTTTTTTGTTATACAAAACAGGTTCAGATAATCAAATTTCAATATCAGACAACTGATATGTATTTATTGAGAGATAAATACTGTCTATGTGAAAAAGGATTCCCCTACATTAAATTTTCCTATAACTGATTAACCACATTTTTTTTATTTCACCAACAACATCAAAGCCTCTTTACTATCTTGTCTATAAATAAACATAAAAATTGCTGAAAGATCTCTAAAAGCAATACATTAGATAATTTCAGAAGAGTTAAAAAACAAAGTCTATGTCATCTGCCTAACCCATCTTTTGGCTTAGGAAGCCGACAGATTAAAATTAAGCAGTGAAGGTTTTGGACTGGCCTAGTCAAAGCCCAGGCCAACATATAACTGCATTAAAACAATTAAGCAAAGATGAGTAAAACAAATGTCCCCTTTTCCAACAGTTCTGCCACCAAGTAGGGTATGAATGTTTATTAGGTTTGAATGGAAATTACTTTCTCAAATAGGATCAGGTTGGATCACTTTTTTCTTTAATACATGAAATCATAAAAAAGTGTTCAATGAGGTTTGATCTGAAACAAAAAAAAGAAAACAGGACAAATCTTTTTCTCAACCTTATCTTTCATCCAACAGGAAGCTGTATGGTGAAATGGGAAAAGGACTCCATGTATGTCCAGGTCAGCGTGTTCGGCCTGGCTATCTGAAGCTGCAATAGCAAATCTGTTGAATTTCTTCTTGTTTTCCGAAAGCAGAATACTTGATCCATTTTTTTTTTTTTTAACTTTGTAATGATACAGTAAGTGCAATTAAATAGATCTTATGTCTTTATCCACTTTGCTTTATTTGCACATTAAGACACTGCCACATGTACAGCCTTTAACCGAAAAAGGAAAACAAATTAAAAAATAACCATGTTTAGCCAACATAAGCAACATTTACAATGATTTTTTTTATATATTTATATTTACAGATCTGAGATGGGAGCTTATTCAGAGGGAAAGGGGTAAAGACAAGGCACCATCTTGATTAAAACACCTGTAATAAACAGGAACACATTTGTTTTGGCTGTCTTTGTCCATAAGCTCCGGACTCATAAAAACATGAAAGGGAGGCAAGTAGAACATTGGCAATACAGTTAAAGTTTTGATTTAAAGACCTTAAGGTGAAACTTTTCAATATGATCTGTACATGCTGCGATAAGTTAACCAAGCGGCTTGTTAGTAGAAAGAATCCGGAAAAACTGATCAGTCAAAATCAAATCACTTCATGGCAAAATACATATCAGGTGAGAAAAGTGCACATTTACATCTGCCTTTCAAAAGTGGTGATAGTGGTGGTACCTGTTGAAATTAAGGCTCCTCATGTGTTTTTATCTGAGAATAAAGAGGTTTAATGAATGTTTTTCCAGAGGAATTTGCCTGCCATCTAAGCTGAGGGGTTACTGATGTGCATCTTTCAGTGGTTTCTACTCAGAAACGCAAAAAGGAATGATACAAAATGGAATACAGTGGTTTAACCAGAAACTAAAATGTTTTTACCCGACCAACCAACTTGTAGCGGCACTTTTCCCTTTCTTCCAAATGATGAGATTGAAAAGAAGAGCCAGATATGCTGAGAAAACTGTTTACAATCCAGTAAAAACTGTCGCTTTACATTAGTAATGCCGCCGTGTGAGCGGTTCACTCACTTTCGAAAGTACAGTACATTCAGTGGAGATGTAGTTTATCTTCCTTTTAAAAATATATATATCTATATACAGAGTATAATATTTTATTTACAGAAGCAGATGCCTCGTTTGCAAACACAAATGATAATCTGCCCTGAATCTTCAACGTTTCCAACCCTGGAGAGACGAGATGTTTTATTTTTGATCAGTCGCTGTCGCTGTCATCCTGGTACTTTGTTGTTACTTTGTTAGCACGTCCGTTCTGTAAAGGCAAGTCCTCATAATCACTCCTGTACAGAAGCACACAGATCTGTTAGGTTTGCATCTGATGGCATATACCACATCCCTGGAAAAAGGGCAAAAGGTTTCAGAAAAGATTACCCATAAATGACTTCATCATCTGAGTCGTTTACCATGGAGAAGGCGGGGTTATCCTTCAGCTGAGAGTCTGAGGAAGTCAGATTTACACAACAAATGAAATTATTCTACAGCCAAAAGAAACACCAGTGTACCTGAAGATTTCACCTACCATACAGGGCATTTTTCGAGGGAGAGTACACAAACGCTAATGTGTACAAATAAAAGTTGAGCAGGCCATAGAAGGATAAAAATTCAGCTGGTAAAACAGGAATTAAGGACAAAATGTAGTTTTCTAACACAGATTATAAACATTTTAAACTGACACAGAACAAAACAGAAAGGATATAGTTATGATAATGGGTCGATAATTCAGCCACAAAGTTATCTTGAAGAGCCTTGGCACCAAACCTCAAGTACAGAATAACCATGCTGGGGAAGAAAAAAAAACATTATTAAAAAAGAAAATCTAAATATTTATCTAAAAAATTTTTGTTTTTCATAACTACCTTATAACAAGGACTACAAACGTCAGTGCTGTCAAAAACTTGAGTCGAAGATCTGCAAATGACAGAGATCTCGCTCATTAATGCTGCCATGTTTTGCCGATTATTGCCAACCCAATACTCAATCAAATACAAAGAAGTGAGTGATGATGGGATACCTGAGTAAGGCATATTCTTTAGTTCGGAACAAGCTCGCACAAGCAGGAATATCAGGTAGAGGATGTAGAAGGCAACCACAATGAGGAAGAACACCTTCATCCCCTGCAGAAGGATCAGAGGAGGTGGTTAATGCTTGACTGCATCAACATTGGTACAATTGTTTAAATGCACCAGATTTACCTGGAAGTTTGCAATATCCAGATTGATGGAAAAGGTGGGATCCTGGAGCTCATTAACCCTGGAGGAAAAACAAAATTTAATTCTGTTTGAAGTTGAAATGAGGCCGGGTGCATTAGGGGTGTGACTTACGTCTGCCATATGCCAAGTGTGACGGCCGACAGCCACAGCAGACCTACGATGACCAGCTTCGGAAGGTAGAAGGTGAGGAATTTCCTCTCGCCCTATGTAGGAATGATAATGGGGTAAAATAAGCTTGAGATGGGGGGGTCGTTATTGCTTTTATGCAAAGAGTAGCTGCACTCACTTGAACCCTGATGCCATGGTAGACACAGAGCCAGAAGAGGAGCAGAGCACACAGGAAGAGAGCCTGGAAAAAAGCATCTAAGGTTCCTGGAAACCAACTGTTCACCAGGAATGACAGCGGGAAGAATGGATCTGACAAAAGAAATAAAGAAAACACTTCTTTTAAATAAACATTTACTCAAAGGAAAAATGTTTACTGGTTAAACTGGTTGTTGGAATTTATGTCTAGCATGTGGTTTGAGAAAATACTCAAATGTTTATAAGGATTCAACATTTTTTTAAAAGTGTGTAATTTCATACATGAGCCTAATAAAAAAAATCTAATTACTTTTCAAGGCAATTCTTATTCTGTTATTTAGGTTCAAATTAAGGTTGCAACAATATAAGCCAAACATTTCATGGCTATCAGTGTGTTAAGTATTAATAGCGGATGTTTTAATGTTTGCTGATATAATCTAAGTCTTATAAACCTGCGTATTGCCGGCTATTGGAGTCTCACGGCAGCAAATGATTACACAGCAGATAAACTGCTCTCCTCCTGATGCTAAAGGTCTGACAGCTCAGGAAAAACATGATAAGTATGAAATAGGCACATACTGCAACTGATATCATTATAATACGCAACGTCACTGTTTTACATTTTCAACTATTATACAGCCTCAGTTTAAAAGGGACTCTAATCCCTTCTGATTATATAGTCCGGCTGAGATTTTGTATGCATCAACTGTGTCAGAAATTATACTTAAAGGTGGATCATCAAAATAAGTGGTCCTCCTGGTTGTCAATCATTCTGGTCATATGCTTATGTAAGGTCGTCCTACGCGCTCCTCCCCATTTTCACTTAAATGTCTGACATAGGGGAAAAATTGCAAATCTGTTTTTGGAAAGTAAGCTTGTCTTAGCGATGGAAACAGCAACTTTTAAACAAGCATGCACGAGGAGAAACTGGCTCTTGCACGCTCTCAAACACGTTTAATAGGCGTTCCCTCTGGGGAGTGGGTACAGGTTTGTGCATTTGCATTTATTTTTTATTTTTTTTAAGTGGAGAGGGCCGGTCTTTTAAAAAATTAGCGAAAATCCTTCACTATACCTTTAATAAATAAGCAACAAGTGGTCAGACAAAGCTGTTGGCCATCATGAAGCATAAGCACATTAAAATGTGATAAAATAAGTCAACTCAGAAATGACCCATACCTTCCATTAATGGCATTAAGCTGCTTAAATCTTGTGTATTTGTCTTGTGTGTGCAATGACAAGAATCTTTGAAATATTTATAACTTCACTAAATCAGGGCTGATTTGAGTTTTAAAACGGTAAAAATTAATTCAGTATATTCTAAACATGCATTTTGCTGCTTCTAAGATGAGAAATATCTGTAACAGACAAAAGTGCAAAGTACTCCCACAGTTCTTAGCAACTGTGTTCTATGCACCTCTTCTGTTAGTTAAACCTCCAATATATGTTGTGATTTTAAAAAAGTGAAACAAGCTTACGAGGTTACTGCAAGTATAATTGAAAAATCTTTACTCCTTATCGCTAAACTTTGAACTAAAATAGATGGATGAATGTTTAACAGTAAAATCTGATATTAATGAAAACTCACCATTGTAGAGCAGCAACAAAGGAAGCAGAACAGACATCCACTTCTGCTCGATGCCCCAATCCCTCATGGAGAACTTCCTCAGAGAATGTGCAAACATACACTAGAAGATCAAGGGAAAATATTGACCGTCACCCTTTGTTTAATACTGTCAGACTGAGCTGGTACGCTTAAATACTTTTTAGAAAAAACAAGCGCTCTTACCGTTACCATAAAAGTCAAAACCACAAAGACAAAACGGAACCAAATTTCCACTTGAGAGAAGGTGGGATTGTACGTTTTCCACTAGAGAGGGGGGAATATTGTTTAGAACAGCAATTGACCAGTATAAAACATAAATTAATATTATTTTTATAGATTTACACCTACCACAAATTTAACCTTGATTTCATAGGAGACATTTTCAAGGTCTTTGAAGCTGACTGTAACCTGATACTGAGTGTAGTTCATGTAACCCAGATGCAGCACAATGATCTCATCACATATCTAAAAAAAAATAAAAATAAAACACTGCATGACTTTACTGAAAATCTACAACACACTATTACTCTGAACTGTCTTCACTATTTTATGGACAATCGTTTGGAAACTAGAGGCAGCCCAAAGCCGAGCCATACTTACTGCTCCACAGTGCAGAGTCCGCATTTTCCTCTCAACAGTCTTGATGCGAATCACGCTGGCGTCCTGCCTCACTCCTTTAAGATCCACATTGATCTCAAAGGGCTGCTTGAAGTCTTTCACTGTATGAGACAGAGGTGAATTTGTTTTACTAAGCTAGTTTGTTCAGAAGCTATATAAGCATTAAGAAATACCCACTGTTGTTGTTTCCGGTCTGAATCACAAGGGTCAGCCACAGCTGCTGGTTATAGGTGGTCAGAGGTGGAGAAACTAAATTAAAAGGCCCCGTCTGAAAACAAAACATCAACATCACAATTAATTTGATTGGATTAAATCAATGTATTATAAAATATTTTAAAAAGTTAATTTTTTACTCTTTTTGTCACTGTTTTTTTTGTGTACTTAGGGAAGTTTATTGGTTTTTTATTATTGTTTAATCATTCCTTCTGACTTCAGAGAGCACAAATAATAAAAAATAACCCTCTAAGCACATCATGTCATGGATTATTCTTAGGAATATGGCTAAAAACATTATCTCTTGACATTCCTGATAATTGTCCGTTGTTTTTTTTTTTTTTATTGGAAAGATTATACTCTGCATATTATACAGAAGAACCACATTTTTCCAAGGAAAACACCGCATGTTGTTCTCTACTGGAGCAGCTGGAATAAGTCACCTCTAAATATTCTAAGCTTCTTTTAAAATATTACCAATATTGCAGAAACCAGGTCCAAATAAAAGAATTTAAAATAATACCACTTAATATTGAAACTTCCTTATTTCTTTACTCCATGTCTTAGGAACAAGTTTCAAATCAACTCAGATCTAAACAATAATAATATAATCTAAATAGTCTATATTACAATACTTATGATAATGCAACATAAACATATCCTTTTCATGTCTTATTTTTGCCTTCATATTAATATACTAATACTACAAACATCTACACTAAAATCATTACATAATAAGAGTACCGCTGTCTTTTAACAATTTCTATTACTTATTTTTATTTAACAATATAACTGAACCAGACCTAAGTTGCTCTTTGGAATTATAAAATGTTGTGAATTTGAAAAAAATAAACCATACTTTAGATCTTCTTCTCATATTTTTAAGATGTTTATTAAAACTGTTTAAAATGAAACATGCAACATTTTTTATTAGCAATTCCTTTTTAATGATTTTCCTATTTATTCACACAAGTTTTTTATATTAACTCTATATTTGTGTTGATTGTTTTTCTTTGCTGTTTGTTTATGTCCATTAAAATGAAACACATTAAAACATGTTAGAATTTATCTTTATGCTGTCAACTGGAAAAGGATTCATTGAAATAATTTCTCACACCTTAAAATGATTTTCAAGGCTGAATAAAGCCTTTCTTATTATTATGATTATTATTATTATTAATGCTTATTTTGATCTTAACAGAAAATAAATATTTTAGGTTGACAGATAACAAACCAAAGCTGAAGTTCACCGTGTTGCTGTTATTAGACGTGTATAACGTTGCCTCTATACAGTCTGTTATTGTAGTGATGTCTCACCTTCACAGAAACATTTTTGGCCACTAACTGATCACCATTATGCTCCTGCTCTGCAATAATCTCTGGACCTAAAGAGGTAAACAAACACAGAAATTAGTTTAAGTCAAATCAAGATGTCACATGTGGGATGAAGGAGATGGACTGTTGATGCTGAATAACTTTATTACCGCTAGCATCAGAGATGCAGCTCTTTTTTGTGAATCCAGAAACTTTCACTCTTTTATCACTGATTATTCTTCATCAAAATGTAGCCCCTGTCCATCACTGCCCTACCTTTATCTGATGTGTGGTGGATAAGGGAAACCAAAACATCCCTCAAGCTTGTTCTGGGGAATCCAAGGCAGCAACAAGGACCTTAACATTTAATACACCCTTAATAAACATATGATATGGTTTCCGCTGCCTGTCTGTTCTGGGTTGAATTTTGATACAGTAGCTTTTTTCCACAGATGTTTGGGGATCAAACAGCTGGATGACCTTGGCCCTAAGCAGGATTACTTCTTGTCTCTCAATAGCCCAGGTTTAGTCTCCAAGGTAACAAACTTCTCTGCTGGCTCACTGATGGCAGCAGCCAACATCAAAAGCCAGAATGGTCTGGATCTGCCCAAGTGTCTCTTTTTTACACAAATATGTCCTGAAAACCATCAAGGGGAGGCATCCAGGTGTGCCGGACCACTAGAAGGTTCCACTAACACCAAAATGACATTAAAGAACCAGAAATGTCATTAGATATTTGTTTCTGTCATTAGTTTGGCCTCTGTTTTTATTTTGCTAGATAAAATAGAAGAAAATCTGTGCTTTCTCTTCTTAAAACTTTTATGTTTTGTCATTATTCTAAGCCTATAGAGCATATGGAATAATTGTCATAAAATTCAAATTATTTTAAACTAGTCGTCACTAAACATAGAATAAAAAAATAACAGAACATCTGACTATAGCTCTTTGTTCAATGTGATCATTGGGCTTGTTTATTGAAACCAGAATTGAACATAACATTTTGATTTCCAAATGAAGCAGGTCAACACATAACAGTAGTTTTAATCATTAAGTAAGATACCAAAAAAGCAACATGCTCATTATTAAAGGTGATTACCGACCCATCTATATATATAAATCTTTATCCTATTTGAAGGGGAAACCAGGAAGATTTCCAAATTTGACTTGAGCATTTAGTTTTTTGTCCACATAAGCATTGAGTGCAGCAGGAATTATTTGGTTAACATGCTAAAACACAGGATATTACAAGTAATTCACAAATACATTTTTCAGGCAGCATTTTACCTAACATGTGACTAAGAATAAATTTGTCTCACTTCTCAGAAAGTGATCACTGCTGAGCATCATTTAGCTCCATCATACGTACCTGCAAGCCCAATGAAGACTGTGAGGCCAAAGCATATCAGGAACACCACGAAGACCAGAACAAAATGTCTTTTAGACAAAGTATAGAGCCGCATGGGGGCCAGCCTGTCACCAAAAAAAAAAAGTAATTAGATTTATAAAACACAAAAGCAATAAATGTATTAAATCTGCTGTTTGGTTTGAGCCGGATATGTCAACACTACAGCGTCCATGTTACTTGAAGCTAACAGCCCTGACAGATGTGGCGTTTAAACGCCTATCTTTAGAAAGTCTAGCGTCAAGCAGAATGTTCCCTGGGGGTGAGCGACACTTACCGCTCCATTTATTCAAGTTTACAAACTCGACAGAACGATAAAGTGATAGTTTTTCGTCGTGAATCCACATCCGTGTACCAACTGCAGCCTGCTGCTGCTTAGGAGTCTACGTCATGGAATGGGAAGGGCCTGAACCACGTGACCGGAGATTGA